GGGGGAAATGTAGCTTCTCTGGCCGGCTACCTTCCATGGCCAATAAATACCCTTTTTACTAATTTTAGGTCGATTTCTACGATTTATTCACCCCGCAAAAGAAGTCTGGTGGAGACAAGGAAAAATAGTAGAAATCGACCGAAATAAAGGAGGTAGCCGGCCAGAGAAGATCTAATTCGCTACCTCCCCTGGATTCCTTTAATTCGGCCGATTTCTACTATTTTTCCAGCGATCCGCGGTGCCTGGTAGATGCTAGTTAGGTACTAGGTTAGGATTATTTCGGGCGGTTGTTACAGTTAGTAGAGGTTGTTAGGCATTTTGCCAGCTTTTACATGTATTTGGGTATGTTGGCCTAACGCCCTGGTATAGTACTGGCAACAGCCGTTACTAAGGCGTGTTTCGGGCTTTTTTAGGCATTTTTTTCGTTTTGTCAAGCTTTCTATTTTATCGGCTTATTTCAACCAATTATTTTTTTTCTCCAAGCAGATGTTTAGGCTTCGGATTCTTTGTTGACGTGTTAATAGACGTTTTTTTATTCGGGCTTTCTTTTTTGTATTGGTATTTTTTTTACGCTAATGGTAACTGTCTGGCAAAAAAGATACTGTCTTTACAGCCACCAAACATCTGCTTGGAGTCACCCCTATTCGGGCATTATCAATATGTGTGTTGGGTTTTTTTAAAGCACCGTAACAGGTATTATAAAACCTGCTTTGTCAGTCTATATTTGTTCCATCCTTTTTTTCGCAATAGAAATATAGTATACTTATTTTCACGTTTGAAACTTGATGTTTTAGTAGTAATAGTAACATTGCGTAACGCTTAGATCATTTTTCTTATGTAAACGTTTCACTGGCAGATTCACAAAAAGATATCCTTGGGCAAAAAAAATGATGTTTGAAAAAAAGTTATATCTCGTTTGACCTTTACTGTTTACACCCATACAGATACATTTCTCACTTCAAAGAAACTATTATATATGCAATAAAGCCCTTAGGCTTATAAAATAAAAGACATGTAGTGAAAGAAGCAATACCGTTTGATCAATTACTAACTAATGTCTTATATAACCTCGTTGCGTTTGATGTATGTGGGGGGGGGGGTGCGAAGGAATAATTTCGATAAGGGGCATTTCGGGAAGACAGAGACCAAATGGTTGAATGAAAGGTTGTTGTAAAAATGAGAAAATTGACTGTCCTAAAAATTTCGTACACGTAATAATTTTGCATTGTGGCGGCTCAAATTTGTACCAAGCAAAACGTCATATAAAATTACCTTCAACGCCATGTATATCTTTGACCATTTGTCAATCAAGACCTAGTGTATAGCCTCCTTAGCAGGCTTATATAGAACTGGGCGCTATTAGTGGACTTCCGACTTCGGCTGTTTTCTGATTAGCCCAGATCTAAAAAAACGGGGGTAATTCAACCAGGCCGGCTATGTGCATATGATCAGAAAATATATAGCACATGAAAGATCCCAAAGACCCTGAACTCCCTGAATACCCCCAAAAACCCCCAGTTTTTGGCATGCTATGGAGGCTAAGGTTTTGATGCATGTGCGGTGGAACACCCCCTTCACACCCATACCCTCGGTTTTTCTCCCCGCCCTGTTTTCGTCGTTTGATTCTGACGTCACATATCGATTTGCGCTCGTCACCTGTGCGCTGGCATCGATCGGAGAAGTCTCGGAGCGGACCGTGTCCTAGATACTGTTTCACTGACACGCACGGATCAATTCTACAGCGAGTGTGTGTGTGTGTGTGTGTGTGTGTGTGTGTGTGTGTGTGTGTGTGTGTGTGTGTGTGTGTGTGTGTGTGTGTGTGTGTGTGTGTGTGTGTCTTCTTTCAATTATGGTTTAATCAACGGATGGTAAACGTTATATAACGTTTGGGAAATACCTCAGTCACGGCTTTGAATACTAGTATTGATTCTAGAAGGGACAGCTGACTCTACGAGGCTTCAGAAGCGTCTGGAAATAGTAGAAATTGGACAAATGGACCGTATAACCACATAATTAAACATGCCAGTCAACCAGACTGAGAGGAGTATAGTTTAGCGCTCTGAATGTACTCCTTTAGCAGATCAACTCCCCTGGTATGTCATTTGTGTATTTGGCCAATTTCTATTCTTTTCAGCCCCCTCAGAAGCCTGGTAGAGAGGCTAGGAGATGACGGCTAACGATGGAAAGACAGAACATTCACGTGGTGCTGATGGCAGGGCTTTCACGTGGTCTCGGGAATGACAAATAATATCGAGCGGTGATTTCGGGCGAACCGAAGCGGAAGGAATATTTCCTCAGACGGTCGGAAGAATTCCCCCGGGGGAATACTCTAAAGCTTTTCGTGTTTCACGAGGTCTGGGTCCCTCATTAATAACATCGATGTTTCCCCACTTTACACACCTAAGTAATACAGACAAATTCACATTTTTAATGAACTTAGACAAACCCCCAATCCTTAAACTTGTATGTATTTATCTTTTCAACATCACAGAGAAGCGAAGAGAAGTCGAAATTATGTAACAGACTGTAGTGCTAGTACTAGATTGATATTGTTGTGTATATATTTGTGTATTCAAGTTAACCTTTGTACCTAACCCAGTGGGTATGTTTGTACAATAAAGGTCTTCATTCATTCATTCATTCATTCATTTTTCTCTGCCTGTCTGTACATTGTTACATCGTTTTGTTACTGCCAGGAAGTTTAATCTCTAAGCAGACCTTATGGGTGTAAGGCAGTATCAAATAGACGCGAAGAAAGATACGATTACAAAAAAAATCTCAATGAAAACACCTAAAACACGTCGAAAATAAGCCGAAGCCTAAAATATCTGCTAGTAGAGAAGAACAAAAAAGGTTTATATTTACCGACCACAATTTCAGTCTCAGTGCAAGTGCCAGCTTGCTTGAACAGATCTCCGATGATCAAGCACATGTTGAAATTGGAAATTGTAACGTTAACGTTGTCTGGATGGTAGTAATTTCTCGCAAGCACTCAACGTAACCGCAACAAAATAAAGATAACACATAACAAGAAATGCAGATAATAACTAGAAAGGTAACATTTGCAAAGCAAATGCATCATGTAATTTACCTTCACATGTGGTCTGCTCTGTCAATTCTTACTCAAACATATTCATATATATGGTGACAGGAGTTTAAATCCCTCCTACTATAAAATTGCAACATGATGTAACCCAACACTAGTTACCATGGTGACAGACGTCTGGTTCAGGTCATTGACCTTATTGGTTTGGAGAATTCATCTCAACAATATGTTGAGATGAATAACACAGGACATGCAGAACAAGGGAATATGGATTCGAATTATGAAGTATTCAGAAGCCTTGGCAGGTAAAGTATGGGATTTTTTTCTGAACCTGTGAAGATCTAGCAAAATTCGAGTAAAGGATGCATGACTAGTCTGCACAGTATGTTAGAGTATGTGTTCATTAAAACATGTCTCGCTCGCTATGGATTTTCAGATAGAAAGGGTGGCTCTTCTCGGATTAGTGTTGTCTGTGCGGAGATAACTGAGCTGGATCCTCCCTGCCGGGTGTCATCACGTTATCTGTCCGCTGGCGGTCAGGATTTCCGCGCCTGCTTGTGACGTCACTGGCTATCGATTTTTTTTTGTTTTCAGCGCTTTCGTGCTAGCCTCTACCAGGCACCGCGGATCGCTGGAAAAATAGTAGAAATTGGCTGAAATAAAGGAATGATATACCAGAGGAGGTAGAAAAGATCCAATTCGAATTCCAACGCGAATCTACCTTCCCTGGAATATTATTACTTTATTTCGGCCAATTTCTACTACTAGTATTTTTCAAGCGATCCGCGGTGCCTGGTAGAGGCTACTTCATGCCGACTGCCTCGCTCAATCAGGCTCAATCCGTCTGGAATCGCGCAGGTAGATATTGAGAAGGAGAAGCTAAGTAGCCTGAGTGCCAGACTGTTACCAGGACCGGCAGTATATAAGCTAGCTCCTCGGCTCCAGGGCCAACATGCCCCCAAGTAAAATGTAGCACAGAAGAAATGGACTACGAATGCAGGGTGGGAGACAACGTTTCCAAGAA